CACCCCCGTCCCACCCCTCAGTGATAGCTAGACTGTAAATTCCTCAGCCTGTCACCCCAATCTCCCCCTCCAGGTTGGACTGCCTGGCACAGCACCCTGGGGGGAGGGGGGTTCTGAGGCCTGCCTTGGAGAGTTCAGTAGGGCGACTGAAAGCTTAACCCACGGGAGCCGGGCCGCTAGGTAGGTAGGTCCCCGTGTCTATAGCTTTTGTGAGTTTTAACTTGCGAATCCTTCAAGACAAACCTTAGGAAACCAGCTGGATTCAAATTGCAGCCCATTTGCTAATCATTCCCACTAAAAGTTGCCTGGGGTGCAGCAGTTGTAATGATTACTTAAAAGGGACATATCTAAGGTGAACGGAGTCCCTGCTTGAAAAATAAGTTGTGTAACATTTTGTTAATGTATTCTTATAAAGCACTAACGTGTGTGTGTGTGTGTGTGTGTGTGTGTGTGTGTGAGAGAGAGAGAGAGAGAGAGAGAGAGAGAGAGAGAGAGAGAGAGAATAGCTTTCCCAGTAGACTTTGTTAACCTAGGAACAACTGAACCATTTCAGCGACAGAAAAGTTACCGTGACTGTGGCAGAAACTGAGGCCAACACCCTCAAGCGAATGGAGACAAGGACATAAGACACACGGCGATAACCATAATTTGTGTCTTTATGGCACTTTATTCTTTCAAAATATTTCTAACAGTATAATCTCACCGGAAGATAGTTCACAAGATAATCACAAATTCATATAACAACGTAGATCAGCTAAGGAAAAAGATCCTATTCCCCACTAGATCTAAAAAATTGGTTAAAGACTTGAAGGAACGTTGAAAGAAACATATACACAAATACATATGACACAACATGGTATATTTTGTGGCTAAAATGTTGACCTTTCTCTTGGTTGAACAATTGATAAATAGGCCACGGATGATATGAGCGGATACCAAATGCCCCTCTCCCCAAACACATCAACGCACAGGCAGCTTCTCGGGACGGATACCCAAATCTCTTTACCTGGCTGTGTGGTTAGTGATTGGTACTATCAGCAATCAGCTAACTACACTGCCTAGTAACCAGATTCACAGAAACAAAATGCAGTCCCAGGATGGCTACTCCCCACGGTGTGACAGGTTGTGGCTACGTCGCGGCTCCATTTAGTAGCTGCCTTGAAGACCCGACTAAATAATGAAAACAGGCACAAGGCATCAGAGCATACAGTACGGGGGGTCACGCGGGGGGTGGGGGA